TACATTAGTGACTCAGCTACATATAATTTTTGACTTAATAATTAAATATATTCAACCTAGTGCAGTGTTTAGACCTGTTTAATTTAACCTGGAAATACTGAAGTGTTTTTCCTTGTTTTATCGTGTTTTGCGATGGATACATGTACATCACATTACCATGTAGTTATTTGGTTACAGAGAAATATACACTGATCAGCCACAAAATTAACACATGAAGGACTCAGTCAATTGTACAGGTTCTGATCAAAACAAAATGTAAGCAAAACCTAGAATTTGCGCTATATGTCTGTTCAACCATAATTCACTTCTTTCATATTAAGTACATTTAATATATATAATTTTGTTCATGAGAAACAGGGCTTTCATTTCACATCAACTATTTATAAATATTACAATTTATTATGAATAAAATCTAAAAAAAGTGTGAGAAATTAAGATTTTTTTCTATTTTTTTTTTTTAGTTTTGCCTTGCATTTTAACTGTGACTGTCATAGCACTGTTAGCTTTTACTGCAATAAAATACACAGTTGTATTCAGCAAAGTCTCACGAGTACAACAGTGCCCCCCATGAACATGTATCATAGCCCAGGAATGATAATTACCTAGTAATTGGTGACATACCATTTGCAGAAGTAGAGAACCCAGGGTATTAAATATGGGGTATGTTCAGTCTTTTTTAGTATCACTTAGTCACAAACACTGGTCAAAGTTAGCTTTCATATTAGTTTATGTGTGAAAAATGCAGAAAGCAAATATGAACGCAAACTATGGCCAGTATTTATGACTAAGTGGCTACTAAAAAAGATTGTACATACCCCACTTACAATACCTTGGATTGTCTACGTTTGCATATGGTATGCCATCGTGAAGGTAATTCGCATTCCTGGGCTACCATGCAGTCTCAAAGGCAACATTACCAATCTGGCACATTTCAAATGCAAGTCTTATATTTCACTTTCCAAAACACCATAATACCTGTACATGGAGGGTACTATTATACTTGGGAGACTTCACTGAACACAAATATTAGTGTTTGAGAACAGTAAAACGTATTACAACAATAATGTCGTCATTGAAGTTCCATTTGTGTGTGAAAAATGCAAAAAACGTCACTTTCACTGACAATATCATAATTTTAATATAGTTTTCCATTTTAAATAATAATATTTCTGTTCAGAGAAGTCTCCCGAGTAAAACAGTACCACCCATGTACAGGTTTTATGGTGTCTTGGAAAGTTACAGGGTTAAAAATAATGCTTGTGAATTAAATTCTCTGGACTTTCTGCCTGGGTTGTCAGGCACGTCCCTCAAATTTTAATTAATAAAATCACATCATTATGTTAAAAGATTACATAAATATACATGTAGAATTTTAATATATATATATACATATATATGTATGTGTATACTTATGTAGTCACCTATGTAATTATATATATATACACACATACATATTTGCAATTATTTATATATATATATATATATATATATATATATATATATATATATATATATATATATATATATATATATATATATATATATATATATATATAAATAAATAATCCAAGGGTATGGCTGCACTCACGTATTAAAAATCCAAAGTTTAATGAAAAAAACTATTAAAATATCAAGTGATCAACGTTTCAGTCGCACAAGACTTTCATCAGGATCATAAGATTTACAATGACAAAACATCCATTATATATGCATATGAAAATTAATCCAATTAAGCAAATTAATCAATTTAACTAAATTAATAAATAGATTAAGTGACCAGCTTACCCAGAGAAGAAAAATCGCCGTGTTTCCGGCGTCCTACAGTGCCCAGTGCACATATTCAGTGAAGCTCCGCCCCCTCTAGTGACGTCATTGCGTGATGACGCACGCCGTTCGTCGCCATAGCGACGCGAATAAAAAAGCGTCGCTATGGAAATAAAACATAGAACGGCATGATAGATTACTCATGCTGAATAAGACAAGCCACATTTAACTCAATATGTGAATGTGGATGAATATGTGTGATATTAGCAATATGTGTTAGACCAATGATGGCTTAAGCTTGTGAAGCTATACAAGTTAAATGTGGTTAAATGTGGCTTGTCTTATTCAGCATGAGTAGTCTATCATGCCGTTCTATGTTTTATTTCCATAGCGACACTTTTTTTATTCGCGTCGCTATGGCGACGAACGACATGCATCATCACGCAATGACGTCACTAGAGGGGGCGGAGCTTCACGGAATATGTGCACTGGGCACTGTAGGACGCCGGAAACACAACGATTTTTCTTCTCTGGGTAAACTGGTCACTTAATCTATTAATTTAGTTAAATTGATTAATTTGCTTAATTGGATTAATTTTAATATGCATATATTATGGATGTTTTGTCATTGTAAATCTTATGATCCTGATGAAAGTCTTGTGAGACTGAAACGTTGATCACTTGATATTTTAATTGTTTTTTTCATTAAACTTTGGATTTTTAATACGTGAGTGCAGCCATACCCTTGGATTATTTGGATATTGAAACTGATTTTGGTTGGCACCCGGCTATTAAGGGACACTGGAGCGTGAGTGCAGAAGCTATTTGTATTTTTTGTATTCTATGGTTACTAGCTATAACCGCTTCTTTGCACCAGCACTTTAAATATTTTGAGTAACCACTACATACATTTGAGTGGAAATCCCTAACTCGGTTGAGCTTTTGGATATATGTATTTTTTCCTATAAGCAAAATTATTTTTATTTTGGCTTATCTACTAAATTGTCGAATATGGATGAATTTTTGTTCCAAGCTGGGGCATACTCTGAGCATGCTGACACAATGGAATTTACTCAGGAAGAAGCAGCCAATATATTGTGGGAACAAACGGGTCTTGAATTGCCTGATAACCTTACTGCTAAGGATGTTTATTTTAAGCTATCTAAACTTCGTAGAAAGAGAATTGATTTGGATATGCATGGGTTGTTCCTTTCAGATTACTACAAGGCTAAAAGAATCCCTAGAGGATTCAGAATTATGAATATCCCTACCATTGGTAGAGGAAAAGCCAAGGTCTGTAAGGATTGGACTATGGTCCTGAATAAAGCATCACTAGACATGATGCTGATTATTATTAAAGATGCCAAGGAAGATTTGGTTGAAGTGGACAAAAAGATTTTAGCAGTAGAAACTGAACATGCTATTCTGTTAGCCTCCATGGAAGGGCAGAAATTGTTGCATAAATTGCAGGAGGATTTGTTAAAATATAAAAATGAACTTATCAAGTTTAAAAAGCTTAAATTTGAAAGAGTCCAACAAGACTATCTTGACCACCGGGTTTATCGATGGTTGTCTGGCAGTAACACACAGAGACCTAGGAAACCACGTAAAAGGATCATTAAACCACGGATTGTAACCATAGATACGACATCTGGAGAGTCAGCCTCTGACAATGAACACAATGTAACAACACTTCAGACTCCTCCTCTTTTTTTAGGGAACGCAGAAATGGGTACCTCTACCAGGAGCCGGGTAAGAGAAAACGCAGAACAAGGAGAGGTGGTAAAACAAAAAGGGATGCCAAAAGGCAAACCACCTCTCAGGAAGTGATCCCTATTTTTAATCTGTCCCACAGGCCGTTAATACAGGAAGAAACAGATTTACTCAGTCGAGGTCTGTCATTTGTCCCTACGGCCAGAGCAAACCAATTTAAGTGGGAAGTGGAATGGTTTAAGTTTGGAAGGAACTTACGGCTAAAAGACTATTTTAGCAAGGGTGAGAATACTGCTATAATGAAGAAAGATACTGAAAGACAATTCCGGTTAAAGTCAACGTTTGATCCACTCACCAATAAATCTTCCATTAAGACTTTTTTGTCAATGACAAACAAGGAGGCACACACCACAATGTCTCGTTCTACTCAAGTGAGGCATAACATCACGAAAAGGCAGAGACAACTGATTAACAACTTAGCAGAAGATTCGTCTATCATCATACGGGCAGCGGACAAGGGGGGTGGCATAGTTATCATGGACTATGTTGATTATTCCGATGAAATGAAAAGTCAATTACAGGATACAAGTACTTACCAACTTTTGGAAAGAGATCCTACGACAATTTTTCAAGGAATTATTCACGACACACTTTCAATGGGATTGAGAGCAGGATTTATAGATATTGACTTGTTTCAATTTCTTAATCAATCTAATCCACGCAGTCCCATTATATACAGTATCCCAAAGATACATAAAAATGCCCAGAAACCCCCTGGACGCCCAATAGTGTCGGCAATTCAAGGAATTCTTGAGCCATTAGCCAAATGGCTTGATTTTTTATTCAAAGGGCCCATTGAACAGCTGGAGACCTGCATTAAGGATACTCCAACACTATTGTCCAAGGTTAAGGAGATAAGTTTTTCGAATCATCCACCGATCCTCATCACAATGGATGTACGGAGTTTATATACAGTGATCCCGCATGAAGCAGGAATAGACTCTATGCGTCAAGTACTCACAGCTTCAAAAGTGTACAAGGGTCCACCCATTGAATTTGTTTTGGAGGTTTTGACACTCACTTTGGAAAAGAATTATTTCCGTTTTGAAAGCCAATGGTACCAACAAGTGTCCGGTACATCAATGGGGGCAGCTATGGCCCCCATGTATGCCAATGCATACATGTATATATATGAAAAACAGTACATCCTGGCACCATATGGCCACTTAATAATGGGATACTATCGGTACATAGATGACCTCCTTATCATATGGAAAGGCACTGAATCAGAAGCAGAAGCCATGGTCGAGGGATTAAATAGGTTATCTACACCAATTAAACTGACAGCACACATCAGTTCCGAAAAGGTCCAATATTTGGACGTGGAACTTTCTGTCGGTGATAATAGGCTGGAATATAGCCTTTATACTAAAACAACGGATCGCAATACGTTGTTGCATGCACAAAGTGCACATCCACAAGCACTTATTAAATCCCTCCCTAAGGCACAGTTTCTGAGGGTGATGTGCAATAATTCCAAGGATGCCACCAGAGAAAAACAACTATTGGAAATGACAGACAAATTTTTGGAACGTGGATACAAGCGGTCTACCCTTGATAAGGCGCTGGAAGAAGCAAGAAATTCACGAGTACCTGATGGAGAAGAGACTAATAACAAAGCCATTCAGAAATTAGTTTTCCCCACTACACATCATCAGTCTACTACTTTGATTTCTTCTACCATTAGAAAAAATTGGAGAATTTTGGCAGCAGACGACACCCTCCCCAAGGTCTTCCATGAAAAACCATTGATTTGCTACAAAAGGAATAAGAACTTAAAAGATCTTTTAGTCCATACGGACCCTACTTCAAGTTACATGGAACACATTACAACCCAGAATCGAGGTTGTGTGCGCTGTCTAGGCTGTGTTACATGTGGTCACATGATGCCATCGAAGACGTTCTCTCACCCGCACACGAATAAACAATACCTTATTAAGAAGACCATCACATGTAAAACAACTCATGTTATTTACAAGTTAATGTGCCCGTGTGGTCTAGCTTATGTTGGTAAGACAGAGACTGCATTATGTGAGAGAATTCGGGGACATAGATCCAGTATTAGATTAGCATATAGAGATGGATCTTCTGATAAACCCGTGGCTAAACATTTCTGGGAATATAAACATCCGTTATCCGCATTGAAATTTGTGGCTATTGACCATATCCCATTATCCAACAGAGCAGGTGACCGGGGAAAAATTCTTCTGAATAGAGAGACCTATTGGATTTATGAGTTAGATACAGTCTCTCCAAAAGGCCTGAATGAACATATTTCTTTTCACTCCTTTCTATAATCAAAATTTGACTTACTTTGAGATATTTATGATATTCACTTTATTGAGTAGCTACTCACTTTATTGAGTAGCTATATTCACTTTATTGTGTAGCTATAACCCTGTTAAAACTTTATAGGTACCATATTTTATAGGTACTTTATATAACTGGGTTCTAATATAATATTTTGTTTATTAGTTAACTATTAGTTACACAATCCCAGCGAGGTTCATTACATTTTAAAATTGTTTTTATGTTTAATTGTGACACTATGGGACACTGGCCACTAACGTGGCAGTCAAAATAGCAATATAAACAAGGTGTTTGAATCATTAGTGTGACAAAAGTTCAATTATTTGTTATAACACTATGCTATTATTGACCATTATAAATATAGGGTGTCTCAATATGTTTAGTGAATATAAGAGCACTTTGTTGATGTGTTTGTTATTTGTATGATATGTGATTAGTTTTTTTTTAACTGCTTTTTATTACATCTTATTAATATATATGTGAATACTATAAATGTTTTTACACTTGTAGTTGTGAAAGTCACTTTATATTAGCACTTTAAATATTCACTAATGCACTTTACAATACTCTTTTTGGCACTTTATTGAATCATTACACTTGCACTGTATGTGTATAGACTGTATAGTCAATTCATTAGCTGTTATTTCTAGCTTATTGCACATATATTTTATCTATTCACCTTATTTAGGCTTTTTTAGTCAATCTATGCCTATCTGATTATCACTTGTATAGCTTCACAAGCTTAAGCCATCATTGGTCTAACACATATTGCTAATATCACACATTCATCCACATTCACATATTGGGTTAAATGTGGCTTGTCTTATTCAGCATGAGTAGTCTATCATGCCGTTCTATGTTTTATTTCCATAGCGACGCTTTTTTTATTCGCGTCGCTATGGCAACGAACGGCGTGCGTCATCACGCAATGACGTCACTAGAGGGGGCGGAGCTTCACGGAATATGTGCACTGGGAACTGTAGGACGCCGGAAACACGGCGATTTTTCTTCTCTGGGTAAGCTGGTCACTTAATCTATTTATTAATTTAGTTAAATTGATTAATTTGCTTAATTGGATTAATTTTAATATGCATATATAATGGATGTTTTGTCATTGTAAATCTTATGATCCTGATGAAAGTCTTGTGCGACTGAAACGTTGATCACTTGATATTTTAATTGTTTTTTTCATTAAACTTTGGATTTTTAATACGTGAGTGCAGCCATACCCTTGGATTATTTGGATATTGAAGCTGATTTTGGTTGGCACCCGGCTATTAAGGGACACTGGAGCGTGAGTGCAGAAGCTATTTGTATTTTTTATATATATATATATATATATATATATATATATATATATATATATATATATATATATATATATATATATATATATATATAGAGAGAGAGAGAACGTCATTATAAGTGTATTTATAAGTGTATTTTGTTATAAGTGTATTTTGTTACCAATATATATATATTAATTTCAAAATACAGTTAGACTGAAATTATATGTGTATATATAACTTTTTTTATCGCAAACAATACTTTACATAGGGCACAAGGTCATGCGTTTAGACTGGAAGAAAGGAGATTTAGCCTAAGGCAAGGGAAAGGTTTTGTTACTGTAAGAACAATAAGGATGTAGAATTATCTGCCTTAAGAAGTGGTTTTATCAAAGTTTGTACAGATGTTTAAACAGCAACTACATGCACTACTACTACTTGCAAAAACACAATATTCAATTATATCATTTTTCAATTGTACGGTAATAGCTTCTTCATCAAAGGATACATCTGAGTGCCATTCTGGGGTAAAAAAATATTTTTTTCCTAGTTTGTTGCAGAACTACAAGTGCTTCAAACTGGATATTTTGCTTTCTTTTGGATCAACGGTAAAAAACATGTGTGAGGAAGGCTGAACTTGATGAGCACATATCTCTTTTCAGCCTATGTAACTATGTAACTATGTAATTATCCACTACGTTTATGCTTCTTTTATGCTTGGTGTTATTTTGTTGGGTCTCAGATGTTTGGCCTTTTGACAGACACTTATTCTTTTTCACTGGATGGCATTACATTTGGATGGCTAGACATACAAAATCTTACTCAACTGAGGTTTTCTACTCGGTTTTTTTTCAGATCCCCAGTTTGGTTTTGCCTTTATGTTGACATGTAGAGTTTACGTCTTCCAGCTAGTTGATCATTTCTTTTGTACGACTGTATAAGCCAGTCTCAGTTACCACTCTTAACAGATGCATTTGTCTCTGGCTGATATTTGGGGCACACTCCATTGGGGTGCTGCTGCATTGGATGCCTTTTCAGCAGGTATTTCTGACATACTTAATTCTGGTGGTTGGTCCCGAGAGAATACATCCCCAGCTTCTCACACTGCTTTCTGTCTTATAATTAAGCGTTAAAAATGCAAAAGCCTCCTGTTATATTGTAAAATTGAAAATTCTCCTTCCCAGCCAAATCCTCATTTAATCTCTCAAAGACATAAATCAGAAAATTAACCCCTTCCCGACCGTGGACGGAAATTTTCCGTCAACCTTGTCCTTCAGTTAAGGACCGTTGACGGAAAATTTCCGTCATTTTCTTAAGTTAACCCCAGATCGCCGCGATCGCGGCAATCGCGGGGTTAACGGTGCTCCGGTCTGCCTCTGCATTAGAGGCAGACCGGGAGCACCCGATCGGGCTGCCCCAGCACCGGTGCTCGCTCTGACAGCATGTCAGAGCGAGCACATGTGCTCCACATACTCACCTTCCGCCTCCCTGCACTTCCGGGTTCTGTGTGAAGTGCAGGGAGACGGATCAGTGCTGATCTGCTTCCCTGTGTAAAAAAAAAAAAAAAATTAAAGTTAAATCCCACCCCCCCTGCCCCTGTTTTAATAAAATTAACCCCTTCCCTGCCAATTGATCACTGACTACAGTGATCAATTGGCAGGGTATACATTTTAATGTCATCTGATTTTTTTTTTTTTAACCCCTGAGGGTTAATTATTTTTTTTTTAACCCTCAGGGGTTAAATTTATTTTATTAATTAATTTAAATATTAAAAAATTATATATTTAGCTAGCTGGGATGGGTGGAAGTTAGTGGGGAATTGGGGAATTTGGTGTTAGGCTAACTAGGGGTTAACGTTAAAAAAAGTTTTAAAATAAGCTTTAAAAAGGTAAAAAAAAAATTTTTTTAAATGTTTTAGTAACGTTTAAGTAAAAAAAAAAAAAATACCACCCCCTTTACCCAGTCTAAATAAAAATTAACCCCTTCCCTGCCAGCTGATCACTGCCTACAGTGATCAAAATACAGATCACAGTATTATACTGTGATCTAATTTTTTTAACCCCTGAGGATTAACTTTTATTTATTTTTTTTAACCCTCAGGGGTTCCATTTATTTAATTAATTAATAAATATTTTATAATTAAATATTTTGCTAGCTGGGGTGGGTGGGAGTTATGGGAAAATGGGGAATTTACGGTTAGTGCTGCTTACTGCTAGTTAGGGGTTAACGGTAAAAGAAAAGTTTAGAAAAAAAATTAAAAGTGTAAAAAAAGTTAAGATAGTGTAAAACATTTAATAAGTAAAAAAAAAAGTTTAAAAATGGGTTTTACAAAGTAAAAAAAGTTTTACAAAGTAAAAAAATACATTTAAAAATGCTCATTACCACTACACTTGGTACAAGCTAGCGGAAATATTATCCCACGCTAAGGTTCAAAATATGCCTTTTGAATTACCCTGGGATGTCTTCTTTAAGAAATGATATGCCTTTATGGTGTAATTGGATGATATAGCCTTGTAAAATACTCTAAAATGGGACATGGACACAGCGTAAAAATTCAAAGTTTGGAAAAAACTGGAATGGCTGTGTCTCAAATGTGCCCCTTCAATGTCCACATATACCTGGCAAAGGTACATACGGGGGTATTGCTGTACTCAGCGACATAGCTGAACAACATATGAAGTAGTATACAGTCGTAGTACACATAAGGTTTGCAAAATATACTGCGCAAACTCACTTTGTGTGTCAAAAAGGCAGAAAAAATGCTTATTACCACTACACTTGGTACAAGCTAGCGGAAAAATTATCCCACGCTAAGGTTCAAAATAGGCCTTTTGAATTACCCCGGGATGTCTTCTTTAAGAAATGGTATGCCTTTATGGTGTAATTGGATTATATAGCCTTTTAAAATACTCTAAAATGGGACATGGACACAGCGTAAAAATTCAAAGTTTGAAAAAAATGGAATGGCTGTGTCTCAAATGTGCCCCTTCAATGTCCACATAAACCTGGCAAAGGTACATACGGGGGTATTGATGTACTCAGCCGACATAGCTGAGCAACATATGAAGTAGTATACAGTCGTAGTACACATAAGGTTTGCAAAATATACTGCGCAAACTCACTTTGTGTGTCAAAAAGGCAGAAAAAATGCTTATTACCACTACACTTGGTACAAGCTAGCGGAAAAATTATCCCACGCTAAGGTTCAAAATATGCCTTTTGAATTACCCCGGGATGTCTTCTTTAAGAAATGGTATGGCTTTATGGGGTATTTGGATTATATAGCCTGGTAAAATACTCTAAAATGGGACATGGGAACAGTGTAAAAATTTAAAGTTTGAAATGAACTGGAATGGCTGTGTCTCAAATGTGCCCCTTCAATGTCCACATAAACCTGGCAAAGGTACATACGGGGGTATTGATGTACTCAGCCGACATAGCTGAGCAACATATGAAGTATTATACAGTCGTAGCACACATAAGATTTGCAAAATGTACTGCGCAAATTTACTTTGTGTGTCAAAAAGGCAAAAAAACGCTTATTACCATTACACTTGGTACAAGCTAGCGGAAAAATTATCCCACGCTAAGGTTCAAAATATGCCTTTTGAAATACCCTGGGATGTGTTCTTTAAGAAATGGTATGCCTTTATGGTGTAGTTGTAATATGTAGCCTGCTCAAGTGCTCCAAAGTGGGCACG